TCCGCCTGCTTCTCCTTCTCTCTCCTCCTCATCCTTCTCCTCCTCCTCCTCCTCCTCCTCCTCCTCCTCCTCCTCCGTATCATCAGCATCATCATCAGCATCATCATCAACAACAACAGCATCATCATCCTCATCATCATCCTCATCCTCATCATCATCAGCATTATCACAATCAGCAGCACCATCATCAACATCATCATCAGCAGCATCAGCATCTTCATCATCATCATCAGCATCATCATCATCGTCATCATCGTCGTCGTCGTCGTTCTCCTCCTCCTCCTCCTCCTCATCATCATCCTCGATTCCTTCCTCCTCCTTCTCCTCCTCCTCCGCCCTCCCCTTCCCCCCCCCTCCCTCCTCCTCCTCCTTCCTCTCCTCCTCCTCCTCCTCCTCATCATCATCATCATCAGCATCAGCATCATTATCATAATCAGCCAGTTCCGCCTCCTCTTTCTCCTGCTTCTCCTCCTCGATTTCTTCCTCCTCCTTCTCCTCCTCCTCCTCCTTCTCCCTCATCGTCAGCATCATCATCAACAACAACAGCATCATCATCCTCATCATCATCCTCATCCTCATCATCAACAGCATTATCACAATCAGCAGCACCATCATCAACATCATCATCAGCAGCATCAGCATCTTCTTCATCATCATCATCATCAGCATCATCATCATCATCGTCATCATCGTCGTCGTCGTTCTCCTCCTCCTCCTCCTCCTCCTCATCCTCCTCGATTCCTTCCTCCTTCTCCTCCTCCTCCTTCTCCCTCATCGTCCTCCTCCTCCTCCTCATCCTCATCTTCATCATCATCATCATCAGCATCATCATCAGCATCATTAGCATCAGCATCAGCATCAGCATCATCATCGTCGTCCTCCTCATCTTCCTCGATTCCTTCCTCCTCCTTCTCCTCCTCCTCCTCCTCGTCCTCCTCCTCCTCCTCTTCCTCCTCCTCCTGGGCCGTTGGGGAGGTGGGGGCGGATGGGCGGCGAGGCGAGGCGGCGGGAGCCCGCCCTGCGCCCACAGGTCGGCTCGCGCCCTCGCCCCAGGGGCGCTGCTTCGGATTCCGATTTGGGCTCCGAGCTCTTATGGCCTTCGATTTTGATTTCGATGTCGATTCGATTCGATTCGGTTTCGATGGATCCGATTCGATGTCGATTCGGTTGGGTCCTGGTTCGATTTCGATGGGTTCCTACTCCATTCGGCTTCGGATTCCGCCGTGGGATCCGGCGTCTCATAGGAGGCCTGCTGGCCTTCCGATGTCCGCCGATGCGACTTGTCCCGGCTCGGCTACCGAGTTCCGCCGATCCGATTCCTTTCGATCGCCGATCCGACGTATCGAGTCGGTTCTGGGCTCTCCTGGCCGGGGGGGGGGCAGGGCTGGAGGGCCTCGGGCGTCGTCGCCAAGGAGTTCGGTCAGCCCAGACCCCCGACAACGATCACAGCGATCACAACGGTCGCGGTTATCGTTGTGATCGTGGTGGTCGTTATCGTCGTGATCGTTGTGATCATTGTGATCGTTATCGTTGTGATCGTTGGTGTAGTTATCGTTGTCATAGTTGTGATCGTTGTGATTGTGGTTATTGCTGTTATCGTCGTCGTTGTGATCGTTGTCATTGTTATCGTTGTTGCCGTTGCCATCGAGTCATGAAAACATCACGACGAGAGGTTGATGGGGGTCGTAACGTAGTATCGGAGTAGGTGTGGTTGTAGGATCGCGCTGCATCGCCGATGCATCGCCGATGCATCGGCAATGCGGCGCGATCCTACGACCTACTCCGACCCCATCTAGGAGGCCTCTAAGCTCGAAGGGCGGGCAGGGATGTGCCCGTTGAGGGGTCCGGGAATTCGATTTTCTGTGGGGCGTCGTCATGGCTCCAGAGGCAGGGGGACTCTGGACCAGCGCTTCTTCCCTATATCACCGCGGGGGGGTGCTAATTGAACATGGAGGTTGATACACGGAAGCCAAGATAGTATACATATATATATATATAAATGAATGTGTGGCCTAACTTGTTTGATCGGTTGGTTACAGGTGCCCGAGGTGGCTGAGGGGCTAAGTGGGCTCCGCCCACCTAGCGGAGTTATCGAACCCACTCAAGCCACTCAGGGCACTTGAGGCGTTCCAGAATGGGCCTTGCCTTCGAGGCTCGAAGGAGCGAAGGAGATGCCATATCTTCCTCTGCGGACGGCCGGTAAGGCGGCGGAAATAAAAGGGAGGCGGCTCCGCCGGCGGAAGCCAGCGGAAGTTAAAGTTGCGCACCTATAGTAAGACAAGGGGGTGAGACAAGGCAGTGTGGAGGGGCCTGGGCTTTTCATCGCCATCTACGATCTCATTACCAAAGACATCGGGTCCAAGGCGTTGGAGGAGGGTTTTCAGGGCATCCAGGTGCTGTACGACCCCCAGTTCCAGGTCTTCAGGAACTCAGTCGGTTTCTCCACTATCGAGTTGCGGACGCTAGATGCGTCCCAGGTGAAGTTCGTAGACGACCTAAT